GTAACTAGAATAATAAATCAACTATACCTTAAAACATCCATCTCCCAACATTTACAATGGGCCCAAATCCCTTAGCTCCCTCCCAGCATCTGCCTAGGCAGAATGTGGGTTGAGAATCAGTTCTTGGAGGAATGATGCAGCTTGTAATTGTTGGTAGGCTTAAAATGCATGAGCAAAATAAACAAACTGGGGATTTATTACAAAGTCTTCACCCCTAAAAAGATACCATCATCCTGAGGCTTCCTGCTCTGAAGTCCAATGGAAAATTAGCCGAGCGCTAAATAGCCTGGCCTGAATTGCTCCTCCACTTGCTGATATCTGTTGGACTGACACTTTTCAATGACCCAGTAAGCACCAGCAGAGTTCAAATCTTCTCTTTGAGTAGGAATGGGAAATTTAATGGGGACCTCCTAGGCTCTCTATGCTCCACTCCAAGACCAGCAAAACCAAAAATAAAACCAAACCCTTTGTCTCGGAGTTTTGGTTTCCGATTGGTTCTGGTAGTAGCTTCCAGCTTGTTCTATCTCCATCCAAGACTCTAGGCAATATGGGAAACAGAGTCCTGAGCCTCTGTAGCCATTGTTGCTGTAGTCCAGGGCGAGTCCCCTAAAGACTTGCTTAGTGTAATAGGTCAGGAACAACCAACTCCAGAGGTGGTTACACAGAGTTTGATCACCCTTAATTTAGTTTCTCTAGGCAAAATTCCACCTTTTGTTATATCCACACAACCTCACTGAAACCAATAGGCATTTATGGCCATAACAGAGGACAAAACGCAGCCCTTTGTTCTAACCTAATATGAATCTGAGACTGCAGCTATATAACAGACTGCTGTACAAAATTCTAAGAATTAGTTACTGAAAGTGTGGCATCCCTCTTCCCCAGCAACAGTATTACCATAGCTTTCAACAGCACTGTTAATCTCCAAATCAAAAGCAGTTGAACTGAAATCATGTCTACTCCATATACTTGTGTTTTAAAGAGCAATGTCATTTCACTGAGCTCTTCACCACTTCCTCTAAAAAAATAAATAAAACAGGAAAGAGGGCCCCAATCTGTAAAATTGAATTATAGATCTGAATTTCCCCCAAGTTTGCAATAAACACATTTAGGACTTTGGTTAAGGCTCATTAATATGAATAGAAATGTCTTCTTATTTTTGTTTTCAGTGGTATGAGTCTATGGAGTTCATAGACTTTTTGAATTTTTTGAGAAATAAATCAGAAATTTCAGACTGCTAGAAAAGCGACTTTAAGTACCTTATTGATAACCTTGTACACTTCATAGGCAGCACCTCGAGCATTAGCAACACTTTCCAAGTATGGGTAGCCCTGGCCGAGAAAGAATGTGCCACGGAGCAAAGAGAATAATACCTACAGGGAACAAAAACAGGAGCTATAGTACAGTAGTTCCAGACCTGCAGTTTCCTTAGTGCTAAATGTGACGGTAATCCTGGTAGTTCTGTAAGAGCTTTTCCAGAAAAAATATAAAAAAAGAAAATCAAAACTAAGATTTCAAGCTGCATTTTTCCAGCTCCCCCAGTTTTTATTCTTTCACTGGATTTGACACAGGAAGTGGTGAATGTAGCTATTGGGTGCAGCCACAGGCCTTTTAACAGTTGGATCAGCTTTTTTTGTTGCTGCTGCTTTCACTAACTCCCATTAAGAGAATAAATTGTGAAATTAGACATCTCCATCTCTTTGCAATATTAAAAACCTCAGTGTCCTCAAAGAGAGTTAATCCACAGTTTCCTGAGGCTCCAATCCTTCAAAGTGCATG